GTCACAACTGAGTCAATGAGAGCTTAGTCATTGTAGCTGAGTATGCACTGAGCACTCTCAGGCTCTCAGTGATGAGACTGTGGATACCCACAGAGAACTCGTGACTTCATGAAAAGCTCTTTCAGAAGAGAGGCAGACTGTGACTTGAGAAGACAGGCTCAAACCAAATGAATGACAGAGATGGTTTTTATCTTAGTCGGAGGCCAGGCTTCATCCAACACCCTTCTGAGAGACAGCCCCACATCCAAAAGTGCAAAGTGAAGAACAGAAAGTTCTTTTTCTTTTTTCTTTTCTTTCCTTCTTTCTTTCTTCCTTCCTTCCTGTCTTTCTTTCTCTCCCCCCCCCCCCCAGAAAGGGTCTCTCTGTGTAGCCCTGGCTGTCCTGGAATTCACTCTGTAGACCAGGTTGGCCTCAAACTCACAGAGATTCTCCTGCCTCGGCCACCCTAGCGCTAAGATTAAAGGTGTATACCACCATGCACAGTTTCAGAGACAGAATGTTTAAAAGTACTGTTTATTATCAGGAAAATAATATCTTAGAAATTCTGAAGGGAAAATTTTCAATCCCTTTTCAGTGTGTTTCCATATTAGTCCAAATGCAGATAAATCTTCACATGGTTCCTTCTTAGATAGAATTCATCTTGTTGGGTGGGGAACAGGACTTCATGCCTAGGGATGCTAGGGATACTGTAACAGGTGGTAAAATAAGAAGTGCGGTCCAGCCCTGGCTTGGGTTGGGGAGATACCTTAGCAGGTAAGAAAACTCTGTGAACAAGCCTGAGTTCTTGAGTTCAATTCCCCAGCATCCCCATTAGAAGTTGGGCATGGAGCAACACTGGGGAGAACAGGCCCTGCACCTTTCCTGGGCAGCACAATAGAGCCAATCCTGTTGGCATAGGTGTGGGTGAGCCAGCCGGGAAGTTGTGAATGTGGGAGAGCTGTCCCCAGTACTCACCTGTCATGTGGCAGCATGGGCCAGGGAGAGATGCCTGCCCCCGCGTGTGTGTGTGTGTGTGTGTGTGTGTGTGTGTGTGTGTGTGTGTGTGCTGCCCATCAATGCTGGTAGCAGGTGGAAGAGCTGGCCCTCAGGTTATAAGGCTGGGAGAGCTAGCCTTGACCCTCATCTGCTGTAGCACTCGGAGAGTAGCCCCTGTGCCACACCTGAGCAACACCTGTGCAATTAACACTTGCAAGTAAAGATATATGGACAAAAGGGTTTACTGTGTGACTCACTATGTCACACTGCATCTTCCATGATGAGATTTTCCCCCTTTTTTTAATTTCCTTTTTTCTTTCTTCTCTTAAATTTTATGGGGGAGCTGGCCTTGAAGGTGTAGGTGTGGGAGATCAGACCCTGAATAGTTGAAAGAAGGAGAACTGGCCCTGCCTTGCTTATTGCTGGAAAACACACCCTGGTGGTGAGGACAAGGGAGAACAGACAGGCTGACCAACCAAGCCCAGAACCAGATTTATGGGTTAGCCCACCCCAATATTCACCCCATCTGTGATCTGCTGGAGCACCTGAAGGGACAGGTCCTGCAGACCCGAAGCCGCAGGATTTCCACAACACAGGGCAACAGCAGGATGACCAAGAGGAGTTCCAATGGGGCCCAGCATCAATAATGTAACAGAAACCAGAGGTCTTGAACCAGACCAATGACTCTGTGCAATTAACACTTGCAAGTAAAGATATATGGACAAAAGGGTTTACTGTGTGACTTACTATGTCACACTGCATCTTCCATGATGAGATTTTTCCCCTTTTTTTAATTTCCTTTTTTCATTCTTCTCTTAAATTTTATGGGGGAAGCTGCAAGGGCAGAGGGTAGATATGCAGGAATGGGAAATGATTGGGATGGAGATGCATGATGTGAAAGACACAAAGAATAAACAAAAAGAAAGTGGGAAAATAGTTGGGCATGGTCCCACGTGCTTGTTACCTCAGTAACGTAATGGGGGAGTGTTGTAGGAGCTGTGGGCCTCTTCCCACAGCCCGGCTCCTGGCCGCTTGGCTAGCTTATGCCCCGAAATAACAACACACAAACTGTATTCGTTTAAACACTGCTTGGCCCATTAGCTCTAGCCCTTACTGGCTAATTCTGATATCCCTATCAACCTATCTCTAATAAACTGTGTAGCACCGGTCTTACCGGGAAAGATTCAGCATGTCTGACCTGGTGGCTTGCTTCATCGTCTACCCGGGAGAGGGGAGCATGGCCTCTGAGCTCACTTCCTCTTCCTCCCAGCATTCTGTTCTGTTTACTCCTCCCACCTATGTTTTAACCTATGAGGGCCAATCAGTTTCTTTATTTTTTAACCAATGACCTTCCTCCATCAAGGGAGGGTGGAAGGGGAGGATGTTAGGGTTTGCTGGCTGCCAGTCCATCTTCAGACGCAAGAAGAGACCCTGTCCCAAGGGAATAAGGCAGAAAGTGGCAGAGCATAACGCCTAATGTCCCTCTGGTCTCTGTGTGCACACATAGCACATATGCCCACAGGCATGTGCACAAGCATGCACACTCACACATACACTCACATATGTAATAAAGCACCCTGCATATCAACTACATGCACGTATGCACACACAGATACAAAGTAAATAAATAAAAACAAAGTTTTAAAGGCCCACCCCACCTAAGAACTTCCCAGTCCAGCCTCATCTTGCAAAGACCCCCACCACCTTCCAATTGGACCAAACTTCCACCCCACACTCAAACTACAGAGCTTGGGAATATTGTTTTGTTTTATTATTTTTTATGTAATATTTTGGATTTTACCTGTTAAAGATTTAGATTTAATTAACCTGAGTTGGGGGTCTTAGCTTAGGGTTTTGTGGGGATATTACCTTAGGTATTTGTTAGTTTGAGACACCACTTCCCTACATAGCCCATGCCCACCCTGACCTCTCATTCGTCATCCTGCCTCAGTTTCTGGAGTGCTAAGATTACAGGCAGTCACCACCACTCCTGGGTTCAGTGCTGCATTAGAGGGCCACATGTGATTGCATACCTGGTAGTGTAAAACTGGTCAAAAGCACATTTGGGCTCGGGAAGCCATAGGCACTGGGGGAAAGGGAACCTACTACGGCCCTCCTGCTAAGAGGACATGTCAAACTGCTTTCTAAACATTTATGTTTATGTCCCTAGATTCATCCTGTTCTCAGCCTTGTTCAAAGAAACCTCTATCTGCAGTAGACACTACTTAATACAGAGACTCATAACTGGTCAATATGTACGATACTAAGTGGGGCACCTTTATCAATCCCTCCAGCCCCACGACTCAAGGAGCATCGCCCAAGAATGGGTGGAAACAAAGAGGATGGAGAGGAATGCTGGGAAATGCTGTCTTCTAGCCATTGCACTCATGACCCCACTGTAACTATGGCTGCCTCACAAGACCCGCACAAGATGAAGCCATCAAGATCAGTCGATATTCCAGCAGGCAACACTAACTAGACTCTGTGAGTAGGTTCAAAAAGCCGGGAAAGGACATGATAGTGGATAGAGGATGTGTTAAGGGGCGTAGTGAGGATAGTAGGAACTAGGAGAGGGGAACTGGGGGTGGATATGATCAAGATACATCCTATGCAAGTATGAAATTGTCCAAAAATAAATAAAATATTTTCTAATAAAGTTCCCTAGGGGATTCTGTGTAGACAAGTGGCGAGCCATTGATGTACCCCAGTGGTTCTCAACTTTCTTTACGCTGTGGCCCTTTAATACAGTTCCTCATGTTGGAGTGACCTCCAGCCATAAAATTATTTTTGTTGCTATTTCATAACTGTAATGGATCATAATGTAAATATCAGTATTTCCTGGTGATCTTAGGTAAACCCTGTAAAAGGGTCATTCAACACTCCAGGGGCCTCGACCACAGGTTGAGACTATCTGTGTAGCCCAATGTCTCACCCGCACGTGTGTACATCAAGCCTGCTGCCCTTTCCCCAGCCAGACGCTTTCCAGAGCACAACCCCACCTCCAACAGTGGTGAGAGCATTACCAACTGGGCTGTGTCTCCAGTCAGCAAAGGTCTTCCATGAGAAAGAAAACATTCAGAACTCGCCTTGGATGTGGGAATAGCCGTTGGGGGCAGGGAAGGGTTTCCTGGGTTCAGAGAACAAGGACTTCATCCTCACAAGGGACAGAATAAAACTTCGCGAAAGGTTCAGGATCTCTCACTCCATAAACACAGGGTGTGGCCTAATCCTTTAATTGCCACTACTCCTTCCACCCAGTTAGTCTGTGTTATCCAAATGTGCAGGACAGAGTTCTCCTGGCCATCCTGCCTGCCCCCGGTTTAATATTCAACAGTTGGGCCAACATTGTTGGGCACTCTCCTGAGAACAGGCTCCAAAATTGAAGACTTGGCAAACTCCCCCTTTTTCTCGCGTGTTACTGAAATTTGAAATGCTTCTGTGTCATCTCTCCCTTTGGGAACTTCCTCTGGGGCTGAAGATTAATCATCATGCAAATATTAAATACATTGAGCGTTCTAGAGCGGCAGGGAATTTGTTTAATCCTCTTACTGCAGTTTAAATGGGTGAGGACAAACAGCTGCTGTGACTTGACACGCAGTCAAGTTCTACTGTGTGGTTTGTAGGAAACCAAATTATATTTCATTTTTCCTTTAGATTTACATGTGGTCTCGCCAGAACCTCTGCTTTCCCATGAGTCTCCGGATATAGTGTATCAACCATCACTCAGTCTTGTTTGCACTCCTTCCAAGACCTAAAGGCTGTTCTGGGAAATGGCAGATTCAAGCATTTCTCTCTCTCTCTCTCTCTCTCTCTCTCTCTCTCTCTCTCTCAGAATGTTTGTTTGACTGAGATGTTATTTGGATTTTTTAAATAGATAGGATGCCCGGGGTGATCCAAAAGGAAACGCTGAAACGTCTGATGTCGCCTAAGAAATAGGGCAAGTCATGCTTGCTCAGGCACAACCCTGGGGACAAAGTCCTCCCTCTTGGCCTGAAGGTCAGCATGCCTCGGCTTCATTTGTCATATTCTGCCCTTCTGGGTCCTCTCACGTTTCCAAACAATAGGCTGCTGGTTAATAATTCCTCCTATTAAGCTTTTCTGTTTCGGAGAAGCTCATGATTTCCCTCTCCTGCTCTGCCCCGCACTGCCACAGGACCTGAGCCAAGGCGAGGCACCTAACTTGGAAGGCTGGATATCAAGTGGAAGATGATAGTAAACCCCAGAGAATGAGTGAGTCCTGCCCTGCTATGGTCTCGGCCCTGCTATTCCTCCATCCCTCTTTCTTTCTCCGTCCATGTGTCCCTTCCTTCTTTTTTCTTTCCTTCCCTCCTTCCTTCTTCAGAGAGTAATCTAGAATATCCATGAATCTATAGTAATTGTTCAATTAAGATTTAGTCAAAGCCTGAGTTAGCTTTTGTTTCTCAGAGTCAATTCCTTAATGCTGCTTAATAAAACAATTAAGGTTGAATGAGAACATAGGTCAGTGGTGGAGAATTTGCCTAACATGGATAAGGTCCTGGGTTCCTCCCCAGATGTCCTCCACATCACAGAAAACGAAGAAAAGGATTTGGGGGAGTATAGCCAGTGGTGTATGCTTAGTGTGTGCAAAGCCTTGGGTTGGATCCCCAGCACTGAGAAGGGAGGGAGAGAGGAAGGAGGGGAGAAAGGAAGCAAGGCAGACGTGTTTGCATGTAGATACACTGTAGTGTTGCAGGACCCAGCCATGAAGCTTAATAGAGGCCTGAGTCTCAGTAGTTTACCCTGAGTCAAGACCTAGTTCCGATAGAGATCACAGACTGAGACTACCCAGGCACCACCCAGGAACAGACCATCCAAAGGAAATTTGTAATGTTCCAACCATGATAGACAGGGTCACCTGCCAGCACATACCCATCGCTTTTCACCTGGATACCCCTAGACAAATGTCAGCCCATCAGGGGTCCTAAACCTTAGAAACCCATCACCCCACACCCTGCTAATGTAACTTTTCTGGGTTTTGCCTTTAAATAGTCCCCTCTAGAAGGGCAAGGGACCTCCTCTTGCCGCTATTGCGCCAGTTGCTTTGACGAGGTCCCTGCCGGCTTGTATTGTGCACATAATAAATCTTGCTCTAATATTTCGGTGAGTCGGTCTCCCCGGTAGTCTTTTGGGGTCCCCATGGACTGGGCACAACAGTATAATGTTCAGATTCCAGGTTTCAAAGGTTCATTTCAGAGGCAACTTCAATGCCAGTCCTCCTAAGTCCCTGTCAAGCTCTTCCCCGTGGCTCAGTACTGTGAGCTGTAAAACAAACATATAATAATAGCTACTTAATGGGGTTGTAGGAAGCATTAAGTAAGATTCTGCATACAAAGGCCTTAGCTCAAATCTTCTAATGTTAGCTTATAACGGTGATGGTGAACAAAAGTTTCTCTCCATTAGGCCTGAATTCTTCCTAGTAAGGCACAGATGGTTAAATGAAAACCCAAACCCATCATGTTAATAATTAGCCTAAAGTCACACAAGTTGAACACTGCCTTTCTCTGTCCCAAGAGCTGACCAGCAGCCAAAGTAAATACTGTTTAGGAAGGAATGTTCCAAACACCAGCACTGTCTGTTGGAGAGGGGTCACAATAAGTATTCAACCTGAGGTTTTTAACATTTCAAAAAGTGAAAAAGACACGTGAATTCAATGTAAGGAGGCTGTTTGCTGTCCCTCCCATGTCCCAGAAATTGTGCCACATAGTGGAAAAGCAGACACAAGACTGCCTTCCTCCATTCTATCACCGTGGAAGCGTAGGGAAAGCACCTCTTGCAGGAGGCGAGAAGCAAGAGCAGGATGGTGCCTTGCTGCACACCTGGGCAAGCGTTCGCTGTGAGCTCGTCTTAGTCACTCATGCTGCTATAATAACATGCCATAAATGGTAAGCTTAGAAACAACAGAATTTGGCTAACACTATTATAGCTGTCTTAAAGCCATGATCGGCATGCAAGCATGGCCAGGTTCTGGGCACAGTCTTCCGCACCCCAGGTAACACACTGCCACTTCACACCATACTCTCATAGACAGAAGGGAGGAGCTCTCTGAGTATTTTATAAGGTATTTTATAAGATCCTAGCTGCCTGTAAGGTGACCGAGCAGTACCCCATCTCTTACGATCAGTTGGAGGTTGCGGTAGCAGCCCAGGTATGGGAAATGCACAAATAGACAAATGTTTGTTACCACTCTTGGACTACTCAGTATATAACCGGGCAGAACAGGCTTCAGTTTATTCCTGACCCTTCCCAAAGTGCTGGGAGAAAGAACTCTTATCATAATCTTTCGGATAAGGAAACTGGAGCACTGAGAAATGAAACGACTTTCCTCCATGGTCGTGAATCAACACTGCCTTCCTTGGCTCTGCCCTTGTTCGCTAACTGTTGACTTTGTCCGTGTCTTGGAATCCATTTCCTGCTTGTACACACAATTACACAGGGAGCAAAGGACATTCTTAAGCTGAGCAAACTTGACTTGGATTCCTCAGAAAACATTAGCTACCCTATATAGCATTTCAGAAGAAATCTAGATATACTACCTAAACCCAGTCAGCATCCTAAAATATCTCTAAACTACTCTAACATCGTTATTGCAGCAATGACACACACACACACACAAGAAACTGACCTTGGACTTTATACCAACATGTGAAACTACCAAGCCTCACACAGAGCAAGCAAGTATCAAATGCTGGTTTCTTTCTCCTTTTTCTGGTGCAACAACTTCACCTACCAAAGAAGTGACCCCCAGCCAATAGATGCACTTTTCACCACCCCCTTCGGTCCTACGTTGGTATTAGAGCTAAGGTCAGTAAGAGTAACCAAGAGGCGGGGACTGGAGACATGGCTCAGGGGTTAAGAGAGTGCAATGCTCTTACAGAGGGCCCAGGACACAGGTTTAAGCCAATAGAAAGTCTTTATTAGTTGGCTGGTGTTTGGGATCTCAGCGTAGCCCTGAACCTTTCTCGCAGTGAGCTTTTAAGCAGTAAAACCATATCCTGGGTTGACATGCTTCAGTTCACAAGAACAGTTGGCCAGAAGCAGAACTAGAGGAGCCAAAAAGCAAGGTTAGTACAGAGACTTGCCCAGAACTATGGACTTTGATGGATTAGGTCTTTGTTTTTGTTTGGCAGGTGGTGCTGTCTACATGCTGAGTTTTACAACCTGAATGGTACTGAATGGCATCTCCTCTGTGGTGTCAGCTGTGCTAAGTCGGAGGGGGGTACAGGGGGCAGGCTACTAACGCCTTGGGGCCCGGGGCACGTCACAAGACTGCATTAAAGATCTAGAGCTGGGGGGGGGGGTGACTGGATTATCTGAGAGGACCCTCGAGGCAATCGAAGTGTCCTTATAAGGAAGGAGCTGGGGGAAGGGGGCAGACAGGCTAGAGCACCTATCACACAGGCCTGAGTGTGATACCAAACTTGGGTTTGGTCTCCAAACCCCGCAGAAAGGTGGCAGTAGAGAACTTACTCCTCAGGGCTCTGCACGCTTGCCCCCCAGAGAGGCACACTAAGAAAGTCAGAAACAGGCAGAGCCAGATGTAGTGGCACAGGCCTGTAATTCCTGCTTTAAACCCCAAGAGGATTCCTAGTTTGAGTCTTGCTGCCTGGGCACTAAGAAAGACCTTGTCTCAAAATAATGAATGAATGAATGAATGAATGAATGAATGAATGATAGATAGATAGATAGATAGATAGATAGATAGATAGATAGATAGATAGATAAATAAAAAAGTAAGAGGAGCTGGGTTTAAGTCTTTAGTCCCAGTACTCGGGGAAGCAGAGGCTGGTTATCTCTGTGAGTTCAAGGACAGGCTCCAAAGAAATCCTGTCTCGAAAAAAAGGAAAAAAAGAAAAAGAAAAAGTAAGAGGAACATGGTAGAATCTTGCCTAGTGTGTTTGAGATGTTACATCCCTAGGACTGCAGGGAAATGGGGGTAAAGGAAGACAGCATGTCAGCATGTTCCTCCCGGCAGTTGTGCTTCTGTCCAGTGGCAGATTTCTGGTCTCATGCATTTAGATGTTTTAAGTCTCTGAGTTTGTGGTGACTTGTTGCAGCTGCCAAAGACTACTGCCGGGGTTAGACTAATGGCCTTTTAATCAGAATGATTATTAATTAAATTAGCAGTTCGGAGGCATAGAAAGTGATGAACCAGTTATTTGTGGAGGCCCCCAATTTTTAGCAGCTGCCAATTTTTGTACAACAAAAAAAATTATATCATGACCTGATTTATTTTTGCTTTTTAATTTTTAAAGTCTTTTCATATAATATATTTTATCATGTTTTCTCCTCTTCAAACCCCTTTCTGGTCCTCCCCACCTCCCTACACACCCAACTTTACATTCTCGTTCTCTCTCTCCTGCCCATCCCTCCTCTTTGTTGTTTGTTTGTTTATAGCCCTGGCTGTCTTGGAAATCATTAAGTAGACCAGCCTGATCTCAAATTCACAGAGATCCACCAGTCTCTGCCACCCAGATTCTGGGATTAAAGGCATATGCCACCATGCCAGGACCCAGCTTCTCTCTCTCAAACAAGAACAAAAAGTAAGAAAGAAAAATCTCCAACAAAAAGCAATCTACAGATTCAATGCAATGCCCAGCAAAATTCTTCTCAGATCTCAAAAGAATGATACTCAACTTTGTATGGAAAAGAAAAAAAAAACAACAACAACAACAACTCAGGATAGCCAAAACAATCCTATAAAATAAAAGAACTTCTGGAGCCATCACAATCCCTGGCTTCAAACTCTACTACAGAGCTACAGTACTGAAAACATCCTGGTACTGGCATAAGAACAGACAGGAGGACCAATGAAACCAAATCAAAGACCTGGATATCAATCCACACACCTTTGAACACCTGATTTTTGACAAAGAAGCAAAAAATATAAAATGGAAAACAGAAAGCATATTTAACAAGTGGTGCTGGCATAACTGGATATCAACATGTAGAAAAATGAAAATAGACCCATATCTATCACTATGCACAAAACTCAAGTCCAAATGGATCAAAGACCTCAACATAAAGCCAGCCACACTGAACCTTATAGAAGAGAAAGTGGGAAGTACACTTGAACACGTTGGCACAGGGAACCACTTCCTAAATAGAACTAGCAGCACAGACACTGAGAGAAACAATTAATAAATGGGGCCTCCTGAAACTGAAAAGCTTCTGTAAAGCAAAGGACACAGTCAACAAGACAAAACGACAGCCTACAGAATGGGAAAAGATCATCACTAACCCCACATCAGACAGAAGTCTGATCTCCAAAATATACAAATAACTCAAGAAATTGGGCACCAAAAGATCACATAATCCAATAAAAAATAACGGAGTACAGACCTAGACAGAGAACTCTCAACAGAGGAATCTAAAATGGCTGAAAGACACTTAAGGAAATGTTTAACATTCTTAGTCATCAAAAAAATGCAAATCAAAACAACTCTGAGATTCCATCTTATACCTGCAAGAATGGCCAAGATCAAAAACACTGATGACAACTTATGCTGGAGAGGTTGTGGGCTAAAGGGAACACTTCTTCATTGCTGGTGGGAGTGCAAGCTGGTACAACCCCTTTGGATGTCAGTGTAGTAATTTCTTAGAAAATTAGGAAACAACTTTCCTCAAGACCCAGTAATACCATTTTTGGGTATATATCCAAAGGATGTTCAACTGTGCCACAAGGACATGTGCTCAACTATGTTCATAGCAGCATTGTTTGTCATAGCCAGAACCTGGAAACAACCTAAATGCCCCTCAACCGAAGAATGGATAAGGAAAATGTGGTACATTTACACAATGGTACACAATGTGGTACTACACAGCAGAAAAAAATAATGACATCTTGAAATTTGCAGGCAAATGGATGGAGCTAGGAAACATCTTATTGAGTGAGGTAACCCAGGCCCAGAAAGACAAATATCATATGTACTCACTCATAAGTGATTTTTAAACATAAAACAAAGAAAAACCAGTCTACAAACCACAATCCTGGAGAACCTAGACAACAAGTGAGGACACTAAGAGAGACTTCCATAGATCTAATCTACATGAAAAGTAGAAAAAGACAAGATCTCAGAGTAAATTGGGAGTATGGGGACCATGTGAGAGGGTTGAAGGGGAGGGGGAGGCAGAAAGGGGAGCAGAGAAAAATGTATAGCTCAATAAAATCAATTAAAAAATGTTTCTTTTCCTGAGGGGAAAAAATCTCCAACAAAAATGAAAATCAAAACAAACAGGCAAAAGATCAATTAGACCAAAAAAATCAAAATAAGGCAAAAAAAAAAAAACAAAAGCTCACAAAATTTCATTGACCTTATTTTGATGGTATGGGGCCTGTCCTAGAATGTGGTTGATAAACCCGGGGACACTTCATCGGGAGGCCTGATTCTGAAGGTCAGCACCTAGCTCCCTGAATTCCTTTTCATTTAACAGTAAGAACTAGTCCCTGCCCATCCCTACAGGGGTGCTTTAAATCTCGAGTCACATGGCTCTAAAGCTGTACTGAACATAATTTAATTTCTCCTTGATAATTCTGAAGGGTACGTCATGGTATTGTAGTTCCTGAGAGTCAACATGGGGACCATTAATTACCACTTCACTGTGGCTATGCAGACGTGCTAATCAACAGTGTGGTGGGAGCCAGTCTGCAGCCTCGAAGGATGGAGAAGATGAGATGCAGAATGTCCCATCCGCTGTCACACGCTGTTTTTCCTTTGGGAACCCTGGCAGGGACGCAGTCGAGACCATCTCTCCCTTAAGTAAATTTATTATGGTGTAAATGGTAGCACGGTGCCAGAAATCTCAGTCATGTTCCTCAGTGGGATAAAAGCTTACCATTTTCACTGTAAGGAAAATCGAATGGAGGTCTTAGCTCAAGCAGAAAGAAATGGAGTGTAGAAAGCCCCGTCTCTCATCCGCCCTGTGCTATTGACTTCTGAGTAGCATTCCAGCTGTATTTATCTGGGGTTTGGGAATTTTTTCCTAGTTCCTGTGAAGAAAGTTAACGAAACCATATGACTTCTCTGGCAGGAGACACGATTTCACACAAAAACTTTCTTGCGAAGAACTTCCATATTGCTTCCCCTGGTGGAATCGCTGTCTCCAGGGAAAGCCTGGTTCTCCAACAGCGGTTCTTTTGAATGAAAGTGAGGACCAAGTGCCAAGCTCAGCAGCCTCTGCTTCTCCAGGAACAGCCTTTAGCTTCACTGTTTATGGGTGATGTCATGCTAGATAAAATTTTTTGAGATTTTTTTATATTGTTCTATTTTGAAAGCATTAGAAACATTTTATAATATTTCTTAAAACAGTAAGTAAATATAGAGGCAGGGATGTAACAGTTGGTGAGCGCTCGCCTGATATTCACGAAGTCATGGGTTCTATCTCTGACACTACAACAAAGAAGGCACATATGGTTGTCCCCCTAAACCTCAGTCACAGCACCCCCTAAAGATAAAATACTACTATCTTTGCTCTTTACATGAAATTGGAGGTGGGAATGGCCACTGGCAGAGACCGATAATTATGTGATTTATTCCAGAGATGGATGTTTGTAAAAGTTAGTGTTTTTAAATGTCAAAAAATGCATACGCCATATATACGCACAAAATATATGTGATCTATATTTCATATATGATTTTTATATGTATATATGATATATGTGTGCCCGCATATATGAGGAAGGCAGTTACCAGCCATCCCTGCTAGCAGAAAAAAGCAAAATCACTTCAACACTAAAGAATGAAGTCACCAACCACGGTTCAGTGCAGAGGTGACAGGTGTCCCTTATGCTACCACACATCAAAGGATCGGGATTCAAACCACGGGCTGTCTGATGCTGGCCCTCAGGGTGTATACTACCTACAGGAAAGATTTTTAGAGCACATATGTTGGTAATCACAGTGGTAAGATGGGATTGAGAGGTTTGGCAGGTAGCTACTGCAGGCAGCATGCTCATCTGGTGTGGAAAGGAAAACATCAAAGCCGGACATCGAAGGGACTACGTTGATGACGCTTCGTTTCTTCAGCAGCACTGATGGGGAACAGGAAGCCAATCCAGTCGTTTGTGAAATCAAAATGGACAACCGCCACAGCATCAAATAGACTGTTCTTAATAATATTACAACACCAACTACTGCTTTTACTTGCAAAATTATGTACACCTTGTAGAGAACTTGAGAGAAACAGCTGCGGTACCTTTTCACGCACGCAAAGTGACCTCCTCCCTTTTACTGCAAGCCGATGAGAACTGGAATGTTTGCCTATATGACCTTAACTAGCCCTTCCCCACCTGCAAGTCTGTTGAAGAGCCCTCAGAAAGACTGCAGTAACCAAATAGGAAAGGCAATAGCAAGAAGAAAGACCAGCTGGGGACCTGCAGCCTGCAAGCAATCGCTACCACTTACTGGTGTTTACATTTAAACCCTTAATTTCATCTGCTGCCCCATACGAGATTCTCGCTTGGGTAAAAGTGTTAAGAAATGAGACCAGCAGAAGACAGAATGCAGTGTCTACAAATCGGTAGAGATGGCAATTTTGTAATAGCTTTATGCTGGAAGAACGGCCCTCAATAGAGAGAGAATATAGGTTGTCCAGTTACAAATTGTGTAATAATGTCAATCAATTCTGCTGGTTCTCCTGAGCCCAGATTTCATTTCCTTTCTTGCTTTCTTTTTGATGCAGGGTCTTGCTCTGTAGCCCAGGCTGGCTAAGAATGGGAAATCCTCTGCCTGCCTCCATCTCCCTCGTGCTGGAATCCCAAGTGTGCACCACCAGGACACTTGCCCTGCTCAGCATTTCTCGACTGGGAAAATTACATACACCTAGCTCTCACTTGGCAAAGATGCAGAGCAGTAGACCTAGTTGTCACCCAACAGCCAGCGGGAACACTGCACAGCTCTCTGAGAAGCCGGATGGGGGCGTGCACACCAGCTTTGGAAGCTGGTTTCTGCAAGAGGGTGTGCACATCTGGAAGAGTGGGAGGTGTCTGAGGCTCTCCAACTGTCACTTCGCACACTTGGTTCCTTCTCTTTCTCAGCACTAAAGGATTTCCTGGCAACACGGAAGACCATGCCAAGATGGCTTGCATCATTCACATTCCTAACCCAAAATTGTCATGGAGCTGGCCCTTGGTCAGCTTGGGGCTAGGTTTCCTTCACTCCTCAAGAGACTATCTAGGGAGCACACACCAGCTGGGATGAGAGGCCTGGCAGCTATGCCATAGACTCTCTTGCTACTGTTTATCTTGTGCCAAGAGGCAGAACAGATCAGGGTTAAGGACCACAGGTTAAGAAGTCAAAAGACCTGTTTCCCAGGCCAGCCTATGCTGTGTACCTCCTCCAAATCTCATCTCCCTCAACTGTAAAAGTTGATCTTGTTCCTACATATCTCATAGGGTTCTTAGGAGAAAAATGACCACACACATTGAGTGCTGTCTCCATGTTGAGGTTTAGTTCAAGAACAATTTGTTCCTGTCTCCAACTCCTGAAGTATTATTAACCTCTCTCACTAAAAATGTAGCAACCGAAACAGTGTTTCCAGGATCCTCCAGGTGTGACATGCCCACGGCACTCACGAAGTTAGAACAGTTTTGTTAATCCTCACAAGATGAAGCCTGTCAACATTCCATCACGGATGGGGGAGCAACTGGAGAGGTTCCACAGCTCCAAGGGCCTAGTTCTCCTGGCTCCATCCCAGCAAGCTGGGTGGGTAAGTTTGTCAAAGATGAGAGTGACCTTATCAACTTTAGGTACTTGTGAGCACGCCTTCACGCAGGAGAACAAGCAAAAATGAGACAAAGAATGGCTTAGGACAGAGGTGGCCATCTGTTGTTTAGACCATCTGTAAGTATGAGAGAGAAACACTAGGAAATCAGGATTTGCGGTTTGCCAGAGCCTTCAGGATCTGACTGGCTATGACGGCAGAAGCAGCAAGGTTTGTGAAAGCAGGGACAGATGCTGCCGTGCAGGAACCCTCCGCAACTTTACAGGTTTTCATGGTGACAATGACAACTTCCTCACAATGACTGAGTATTACTTCACTAGCAAACACGAACTTGAGAGTCTCAGAGTTGTTTTACATTAGCAATTTCGCCACTAGTCCATTGCCCATGCTTAGGTAAATAACCCCTCATCCTGGCCATGTAAGCAACCCTAAATAACCATACGGATCTCTCTGTGTGTCTCTGTCCCCCTCTCTCATTGGCATATACACAAAGACATGAAATTAGGAGGAAGACTGGGAAAAGAAGACTCTCACTGGAAGAGTGGAAGAGTGACAAGAGAGGGTAATGAGTGTGTGAACACAGTCAAAGACATTAAATGCATTTATGAAAACATCAAAGAATTCATTAAAAATATTGTGAAAAAGAGCAGTTTCCATTACCTGACTGTAGAACAAAAACCATAGCTATTTTGGCTGGGTATCCATATTGTCACCCATTAAAAATTCTAAGAGGAGTAAATGAAACATACTATACAGCTCAGGCATGTCTTGTTAATAGAAACCAGCCCATCCACGGTAGCTAGTGTAAAATACATGCCTACAGTGACCTGAGATTTTCCTGTAAATTCCTGTGTATGTTCCCACTTGCATATCGGATTGGTCTGCTCTCCACATCCACAGCCTGTTCCACCACTAAGTGTGGTCGTGATACAGGTTCTAATTCTCTCAAGTCATTGGAATTTCCAGCGAGTAGCCGCGCAAAGTAGCAAAAAGACATGGATAGGCAGTTTCTTATTTTTATCCTTTGAGGAACTTGACTATTGCTTAATCAAATCATTGGGAAATCCGTTTATTGGTGAAGGACTTCAGAATCGTGGATCTTGGGGGAGAGTGACCATCATTTAATAGATGTGTAATGAATAATTGTCTAGGCAAGCTCTAACTTAGGTGTATAATCCTGTTAACATGTGAGGGGATGAGGCCAGAAGATAGATAAGAAGGGAGAGGATAGGTAAAAATCTAAAAATACAGAGTTTGTGTTGTTTATGTGAGACAGAGCCTCATTATAACCCTGCTGCCTTGAATTCCTTGTATAGTTCAAGACTTTGAACTTGGGATCCCCTACTCCCCCAAGTGCTGGAATGACAGGTATGTGCCACCTTGCCTGATTTTGAGACACCTTAAATGAGAAAAAAGAGAAAACCGGGCGTCAGAACAAGGAGCTATGAGGAAGGTACCATCGCATGCTAAAAGTGGATATATTTTTATCACCATTCAAATCATGCAGTGTGGCTTTTCTGAAAAAGCAAGACTGTAAGTAGGATCCTAAAATTATTCCACTCTGTGATTCAGAAAGAACAAGCCTTCATATGGTGGCTCCATCACCAGACTAGCTGAGATAGTAATATCAGCCTTGATATTACCAGCTGTGCAAGACTGGGCACACTGCCTAACCAATCTGAACAGAAATTTCATCATAGCCAAACTTGGAAGAAGAGCTTCATCCAGGAAATCTGCTGTGATGCTCATTTTTCCACAGAGCAAAAAATAGGTGACGGTAAGGGTGTGATACTGGAGAACACTGTGCACTGTTGAGGGGGTGCAGATGGGTGTAGCTACCAGCAGAGAGTAACAGCAGGTCCTCACCTTGTGGTCCAGTATCCCCGCTTCTATGTTTATACTCACAGGAAATGAAATCAGGATGTGAAGAGATAGTTCTACACTTATTCACAGTAGTCAAGCAAAGGAAACAACCAAATGTCCATCAGCAATCGGAGAAAGATAGTGTAGTTCATACACACTATTGGGTATCATGTAGTCTGCCATTTGCAGTAGTGTGAATAAAACTGGAGGACACTGTGCTTAGGGAAGCAAGTCAGTCACAGAAAAACAAATGCCGTTTGTTCTCAGTTAAATCAGAATCATCAATAGCAGGCATTCTCACAGAAGTCAAAACACAAAATTGGTTGTCAGGATCTAGACCTAGGGGAAATGAGGAGAGATTGGTAACCGGGTACAGGGTTTCAGTTACACAGATGAAGAAACTCTCAGGTACGGTTTACAACATTATTCTGTATTCTTCAAACTTGGATTGAGAGTAGACCTCAAATGTTCTCCCCGCCCCAAGACAGAGTTTCTCTGTGTAACAGCCCTGGCTGTCCAGGAACTCACTCTGTAGACCAGGCTGGCCTCAAACTCACAGAGATCCGCCTCAGCCTTCCAAGTGGTAGGATTAAAGGCATGCACCACCACCTGCTCAGCTTAAATGTTCTTACCATAAGAAGAAAAAAATAAAAGCAAGGCAGAGAGAAAAGGGAAGAATAAAGAAGGAAGAAAGGAAGGAGGAAAAAGTATGAAGTGATAAATTAATTTCCACTGTCATGGTGATCATTTCCCAAAATATATCTATCCACCAAAACAGCAAGCCGCATACATACAGTGGATGTGTTCATATATGTGGATGATCATGTATGTGGATGCACATGTAGAGACCAGAGGACAGTCACAGGTGCCGTTCTTCAGGTGCCACCCTTGTTTTAAAAGAGAGAGAGAGAGAGAGAGAGAGAGAGAGAGAGAGAGAGAGAGAGAGAGAGAACCTCAAAAGTCTAGAACTCACCAAGAAGGCTAGGCTGGCTGGCAGCTGGTCCCAGGGAAACTCTTAGTCTCATCTTCCCTAGGTGTGTGTCACTAAAGTTTGGCATTTCTACATAGTTCTGGGAATCAAAGTCAGGGCCTCATGCTTTCAAGGCAAGAGTTTTATTGGCTGATTTATCTCCTAGGCCCCATATATCCAATTTTCAGTGGTTGTCAATTTTAGCTCAATACTGAAAAACATTTTCCATAATTAAATGGTAGTTTCTTCAGTGAGTGTTTGTGATCTAGATGTAGAAACCCAAGGCAAATATCCAGGTACTTCTTAGAACAATAGTTTTAAGAAAATTATAGGAGATAGATAGATACATAGATACATAGATAGATACATATTTAGAGACATAGATACATAGACAGATAATACATGGATAGATATTGTCTACTTGAGGAGAAGAAATTATATAGTACAGTTTCTAATGTGTCTCAGTCCATTTTCTGATGGCATGGGGGAAAAAAGCTAGGTTATTTAAAAGCAATAAAACTTTCTCTAGATCATAATTCTGAAAGCTGTGAAGTCCTTGAACATGACACTAACATCCAGCAAAGGCCTGCCCACCATATCCTTCCATGGAGGAAGATGCTGGCTCCTCCCTTCTGTAAGGCATTAGGCGTTAGCTTTCTTGATAAAGAAAGGCCTTGGTAGGTCAGTACTCCTGTGACCTAATCGCCCCTAAACTCCCACCTCCTTAGACCACCCAAATGGCAGCTATATCAACCTGTTTTGGAGGAAGGGATATTTAAAAGGCATTGCAATGACTGGACAAAATTTGCTGAGTAAATCACCCAATCATTTCTAGGGCAGCGGGAGGACACAACACACAGAACACAACTGCTCATGGCTCCAAAGTTTTAATTCCTCTGTCAGTGCAACTTATTTCTGCAAGCTTTAATTTGTTCTGTCGGGGAGACGCGAGCACTCCATTTCATTTTGCCCAGGAACTAGAGTAGACTTTGAAACAGGGTCAACTGGATTTAGAAAATCACTCTTGTACAAACAGAGCTCATTTACAGCTAGCTATTCAAATATCCAATGACCGCATAATAAAAACCTAGTGCCTTCCTTTAATTACTCCAGTTTACTCTTCCCCGGAAGTGGCTGCCCATATTTGGAAGCTGCTCTCCCACGGTTTTTAAGAGTGCCCAACATTCCGACAGTCACGTATTCGGAGGAACATTCTGATCTGAAGGTGCCAGTGTGATTGGTTCGTGTATTCTGGATGAGCCCAGCTCCACAAGGCTTCTGTGCACAGATCTGGGAGTTTCTCGGGGCGTTTTCATAACCACCGCTAATAGGTGGCAAATGAAGACAAATTGCTGCGGTGCCGATGGCAAGCTGCAACCAAAGTGAACCCTGCCACAGACTATAACTAACTTAGAAATCCAGCGGATGGAAGATTAAACAGTGAAATCTGAGCGATACTGCTTGTTCCCCTCTGATTCATGCCTGGCAGACACTCTGAGTCAGAATGTAACTATACACTAGTTTTGGTGGCCCTCGCTAAGTTTATACTTTGGTTAACCACAACTGCCTCAGATTTACTACTGAAAGATGTTTTAGAGAAATGAAACTAGTCACCCTTTGTAGCAGGCTTTCTTTTGGACCACCAACCAGATCCCAAATCATGACATAGAGACTTGTTATTAGTTATGAATGCTCAGCCTTATCTTAGCTCTGGTTTTAATCTGTTTATCTTTATCTATACTTTGCTTCAGGGATTTTTACCTTTCTTTTATTCTGTATATATTACTTTCTTGCTTCCTCCATGTCTGGCTGACTGGAGTGTTTCCCTCTCTTCTCTCTTGTTCCCTTATCAAGCATAGATTCCTCCTCCTGTTCATTCTCTCTGACCGCCAGCCCTGCCTATCCCTCTTCTGCCTAGCTATTGGCCGTTCAACCTTTTATTAGACCAATCAGGTACCTTAGGCAGGCAAAGTGAAACAGCAACACATATTTACATAATTAAATCCAGCACAAGCAAATGTAACATATCTCTACATAGTTAAATAATAGTCCACAACAAGCCTTCATGAATATGACTGGTTATTCATAATAAATGAAGCTCTTACAGTGGGAAAAGGCATTCTTACAGTGGCCTTTGCATACTTTAAAAATATACTTACAGCATCCCATGCTTTCATACATTACTTGAAAAATATTAAAAAATTTTCCAATATGTTTTTAACTTTAAGGTATTAATTTTGGGGTGTCTTTTTTTCTGAGCTCAGTTCCTAGTGCACTGTCTACATGGTTCTATAACTAGACGAGAGGGGACTCTCACATACACACTCAAGCATATGCTATAAATGAGAGAGAGCCACAGATACAATTAACTAATAATAGTGAAGCTTGTGCTTACTCTTTTGGCCAAACATGATTCCAAGAGCTTTATCAGAATTGCTTAACTGACAGTTTCAACAGAACAGAATCCCACTGTTCAGATTACAAGAATCGAGAGACTTGGCAGATCTAACAGTTGATGGAGAATTCAATACCTACAGGGGAAGGGAAGGCTTTTCAAGGGTGTTTTCCTGAAAAATTACAAAATTAAATTTTTTTCTAGGGCTTAAGAGATGGCTCAGAGGTTAAGAACACTGGTTGCTCTTCCAGAATATCCGGGTTCAATTCCCAGCACCCACATGACAGCTCAAAACTGTCTGTAACTCCAGTTCTAGGGAATCCAACACCCTCATGCAGGCAAAACGGCAATGCATATAAAAAGTCATTTTTAAAAAAAGACTAAACTAACTACACAATGGAACACAAAAGGTACACATTTCGAGTCTACACACTGTAATCAATTTATCTGCTTTATTGTTCACTCA